CCCCAAAACCCCAAAACCCCTCGAACATAAATATCTTAATTAATTATAAATTTGAATTATAAATATTATTTCTCGAATAAATATGGATTATTAAATGTCTATATTTTTACTGAAAAACTACAAATCTCCTCTTTTAATTCTATAAAACTATTTGCTTATTCTAACACATAACATGGTATAAACTTTTCTTCATCAATTTAAGTCATTAGTTTACCATTTTCTGTTTTGCTAAATATTATATATAAGATTGGTACAATCTAAATTTTATAATTAATTAAAGAAAATAATTGAGTTTCGAAAAAGTTAATGGCAGATCAAAATTAGTACTAAAACTAGTAGCAATAGCAACACAGACCAGCTGGAATCAATCCCTAAGGCATGCCAATGCAAAGACAGCAAACAATGCAAGGCCAGATGCCAATGATGAAGTAGGGTTAACCAACGAACATGCCTCCATAGGGAATGCCTATGATGAGCCAAGGATAGTAAATGCAAATGAGATAAGCAATGCCGCCCATCTAAGGCTAGCAAGTTCCAGGATAGTAATTGGCGCAGGGCATCCCAGGAGGAGCACCCCTTCCAACTTAAGGCTCTTAGATACCTGCTTATCCGCCCGTTATGTATATACCAAAGCAATAGCAGTAGTCCATGCCACTAAATCCTTAGTAAATGGCTCAAACTAGACCAGCTGGAGATAGACCAGAGCAATTGTAATAGTATCAAGTGAGCAGCTAGGAGCAACAAAGAAGATAGCAGAATGACCTTCAAATTAGATAGAACATGAACAAGTTTATCAAAGAAGAGATCCCTCAATTCCACTACTCTGTAAGCAACCTCAATATTAGCATTTTAATTTTTAGTAATTGCCACAATCATTAGATGACCTATATGCAATCAAGTAGAATTCAATATTCAAAGCCATTTTTAACTAGCATCAATATGGTATGCTAAGATTGAATTTATGTATATTTAGGCGGCAAGAGGGGTAAAAAGCCAGATGAGCCCTAGGTTAAAGCCAATCACAATGATTTTCTGCTTGCAGAAATGACAAACATGGCTATTGACTTCTAAGAGGAGGGATTATACAGAAGAGTTTTAACATTAAAGTGTGCTAAAGAGGCCTAAAGATATATAGTCCAAAAGAAAGAAGCTATTAAGGCCAAGATTCGTGAGGAGCAGGAGAAGATCCTCAGAGAGCAATAGCGAGAAGAGAATGAGAAGTTAGAAAAGGAACGCTAAGAACAGTAAAATCAGCAATAGTAGGCAGTGATTGATGAAATTCTTATCCCAGATAACCCCAGTCTGATTATCAAAGACTCCTTGAATAGTTTGTTTAGAATGGACAGTGTTATACCAAATAATGACAACAATATGAATGATGCGTTTGTTGACCCATTCTTTGATAACAACTAGGATAATGAGATGATGATGATGAACGATAACTTTGGCGATAGCAATATTATGTTTCAAGACAATATGAATCTACATGCAGACATAGAACCCTCTGACTTGGGAAAGTTAGATGATATAGCATTGCCTATAGAAGACATTGTAGTGCCACTAATAGACATGAAAATAGACATGAAATTAGAGCAATTAGAAGTTGTGTAATAGGATGGTAAAGAAGCCAAGAAAGTATCAGATTTCTAAGTGAAAATGGGAGATGTTATTACTGATATTTCAGAGGAGGTTGCTTTGCCCGACAAAGATGCATTAGACGGCATAGATTTGTTCTATCAAATATCTGATTTGAGTTTGGATAATGAATAAGATCTAGAAAATGAATTCAATAAAAGCCTCTCAGCTTAGCAACACATTCATGAGCTAGCGAATTAAGTAATAAACAATAAGTTACAGAAGTACAAAGACATATTGATTAATGATGCTAATGTCAGAAAGGATAAGAAGAAGAGAAAGTAGTAATTGAAGGAACTATTCTAAAGTAATCAAAAACAAGCTGACCTGGGACCCTTAATAGACCCTAGCAATATAGAAGGTTTCTTCAACACTGATCAAAACTTTGGCTTAGCTTCTACTTTAAATCAAAACAGAAATCTTCAAGGCTAATTCTAAATACAGCAGGATGCACCAATACCTTTATTAGTGCCAGTAGAGTTAGATTAAAGCTACAAAAAGAAAGAAGTTCAAGTACTTCAGCAAGATGACATCTTCTACTAAGGTTTTGATGAAGAAACAGACCTAGGAGATTAAATGACTTATGAAAATCTGGAGAAGGAGGAAGAGAAAAGAAAGAAAAGAGAAAAACAGGAGAAGTAAAAGCCAATAGCTAGGCCTGATAGTGAGAATCCTTATTCTGACGATGATTAAGATTTCTTTGAGACCGTCCCTGAGCCTTAGGGCTGCTAGTACTACGAATTCTTTATTAAGATCACCAATGAAAAAAACAGAAGAGCTCTTCTGAGTCAGTTCAACTAGAACAAGCAGAGACTATACGAAAGCGACAACTTCCTTTTCCCAGATAAAAATTACAAAATGGCATAGAAGAATCTTATGCTGAAGTAGAACTTGAATCCATAGGTGCAACTGGACTAGGAAGTAATCAAGCAGTTTTACAAGACATTCCCAAGCAAAAAACCTCCTAACAATCTAGAGCAGGCATTTATATTCTGGTATGCAAGCATATTAGGAGATGAATGGAGGATAGTATCAGATGTGCTTAACTATCATCCCTTTACCAAAGGATTCCTTAGGGAGTCTGATGAAGTCATGAGGATCTTCTACTTGATTAATGAGCAACTCACACTCTTTTATCATCCAAAGATAGCAATTGACCCTTGGAGAGTGACAGGATTACCCCTTCTCATAAACTAAAGACCTCCAAGCCTACTTAACTCTGTCCATCAATCTTGCCTCATTCATTAGAATAATCTTAAAGCTTTCTAGGAGTCCATAGTTAAATCTAAGTTCAAATTTAGAATTACCCTAGGTCTAAATTAAAATAAGAATTTAGTAATCATAAGCACCAAAGTTATCTAAGAACACTCGGCTGTTTCTTAAAATGACCAAGAGGAGTTTAAATAGGAGAAGACTAGTATTCTAACTAAAAGACCTCCTTCTCCTTATGCCAATCTCGACTAAGATTAGTCAGATTAAATCTAGCAAACTAAGAAAGAAAGCAGCGAGGGACAGATTCCGACAGAAGCTTTAGATGAGGTGATTAAACAATAATTGAACTATTAGCAATAAATGAATGAGAGGTTTCAGCAAAGACTCTCCCTCTAAGTTAATGAGACTAACAGGCAAATTTAAGAAGGAGCATCAGGTGCGCAGATCTCATTTTATCAGTATTATGATAAGCTGTATTAGCCCCCTATGAAGAGGAGAAAGATTTAAGATGTAAGCCAACTAAACTAATAGAAACAGTAAAAATACCAGAGAACATCCAGAAACTTTATTGATATCAGCAAGATCTCCCCTAATGATAGAAACACTCCACTGATGAATGCACTCTCATTAAAAGCAAGTGATGGATAAGAGTACTACCAAAAGTCGATATTCCAAAAGAATACCACCATATACTGGATAAGCTACTTACTCAAGAAACTCTATCAATAGGAAAAAGAGCATGTCATGAAGTCAAGGAACTCTGAGCCTCCAATCATTGAGTAGGTCGATTTGAACACCAAGTACATTCTGTCAAAGAGAGTCATGAAATAGTCCGAGGAGTGTGCAAAGATTCAAAGAGCTTACTAAAAGGGAATGGTACTATTAACCTAGGAAGAAAAGGACAGTTCTGAGAGAATAAAGAACATAAATGAGTCGCTATCTAATTATTAAGTTGAAACTACAGTAGCAGGAATTGATATGGTTGGAGATATTTGGGGTGGCAACACTATTTTCCACTATGACTAGAAAACAGCCATTAATCAGCTTATTACTGAAACTGACTCTGCTGAGAGACATCCAGAATATATAAAGCAAACTTGGGAAAAGAAATGGGAAATGATGGATTGCTACTGGTTCTAGCAGCATAAGCATCTCAGCCCAAATGAAAAGAAAAAAGATCCATCTTCCAAGTACCTAGAACAGTTCTACAACGCAAATTAATAGCCAAGTGGTATGAGTAGTGATGCATATGCCTAGTATCTATAACAGCAAAGAATGAATAGAATGCCTCCAACTGCTGGAGCTCCTGGAGGAAAGCCTGAAGACACTCAGGCAGCAATGCAGCATAGACCAGGCCAAGGTCCTCCTAACCCTTAAATGAATATGATGATACCAATTGATTAATAAGGAGGTGGAGGCGCTGCAGGTGGAACAGGAGGTTAGCCTAATCCAAACCAGCAGCCAAATATAAACTTGATGAGATCGCAATAATAGATACATCAGTAATAGCAGCTTCAAAGGCAAGCTTCAGATCTTTTGAGACAACAACAGATCCCATAAGGCCAATATCCTCCAGGGTATTAGCCTTAGTCCATTCCACCAGGCTAGCCATAGATGCAAATGATGCCTAGACAGCCTCCAGGAGGACAATAAATACCTCAGCAGATGCCTGTCAACCAAAATCAGCCACCTTCCTACAGATGATAATGATTAGCAAGTCCTGAATTAAATAATAGAACTTGATGAGAAGATTTGTTTAGATTTAAATTTATTAATTTCAAAACTCAAATAGATATCATATCGATCTTAAATGGGGTTTTGGGGTTTTGGGG